TGAGAAATGATGGGAAAAAACAGGAAAATGGATGAAATGAGAGGGAAAGTGGAGGAGTCAAAGAGGCAAAAGATTGAAGAAAAGAAAGGAGAGGGAAGAATGATTTTGATTTTGTCCACCTCTGCAGTAAACTCCTCCGTACTTCTCTTCTTTATGTGACGTATTATTATTACCAGTCTTATAATTGCCTCCATTGATTTTATGAAACTTTATAATCGCTGTAACGTTATGGTTATTGATTACCCAGCAAAGATTTGGCAACATAATCAGAACTGTACTTCATTCCTGTAAAGAGAGGAAGACACTCTGAGACGAACGGTGGCCTCTCAAGAGTCAAACTTCCTGCTAATTCAGTATGATTGAAATGTACAAGACTGACGCATATTCTTATTATTTTTAACTTATTTCATGTAAATCCGTGGATGTTGGTCTCTCATGACACCCTAATGAAGTCAAGTAGCCCCCAGAGGTCATTTTGTAGGGCTGTAACAGTGCTCCGCCTGTTCCTCCTTCCACAAAGGAACAGATAACTGTCCTTCTGCTGAGAATATTCAATTCTATGACCATGTCCAACTATCCACATGTTGACAGTCCATCTCCTGGTATCTCCTCATTCTGTAGACTATGCTGGTAGACATAACATATCTTCTTGTGGCAGCACGTGTGGTTACCCTGGAGGAGCTTAACTATTGGAGGGCCTGAATGGCCTCCAGTCACTGTCTCATGTTAATAGTCATGAGAAGGACACTGATTAAAAAACAAAACCAGAGAAAAGTCAGTTGAGACGGATAAGGAGAGGGCAATGGTCTGTGGAGTGCAATCCTTCTCAGATGCCTCGCCGATAGCAGGCAGCATGTCCCCAAACAATCACAGTCGGACTCAGACTTGACTGTATTTACACTCAAGTACATTGGTGAAAGTTTAATAAATAATAAATAAATAATTGTCCTTCCACTGATTAATACAGACAGATTGACTGCAATTTGTTGTCAATCCTCCTAAGTCTTGACACTATGCTGAGAGACACAGCATACCTACTTACACTGGCACATATGATGTTGGCTCTAATTATGCCGTCCTGGAGGCGCTGGACAACTTGGACAATCTAATTGGTGTGCAGGAAGTGAAACTCTTGTCATCAAAATAAAGAGTCCTTTCATAGTTTGATCACAATCAACAATGGTTGCTCAGTGTTCTTACTTTTTTTTGCTGTTGTTGTTGCCAATTACCAAGAGCAAGTAGTTCTGGTGACCCGAAGGTTGATCGTGGAACAACCTTAACGTATGGTAATTGGATAGGCCCTTGGTGGGAGGGATATTGTCTCCAAACAATTGGGCTCTTACTTGGAGTGACTGGAATCCATCTCAAATAGACTGGTGAAGGTTTGCAAAATAAGGTGGTCTAATTTGTTATCTAAGAATATGAACACATCAGTTCATCCTTTAATAGAGCAACTATATCACTGTTAAGCACCATAGTTCCACAAATAGATTGCATTTACATTTACAAACAGATAACACCAACTCCTTTGACAGATGAGTCTCATGATTTTTATTTTTATTTTTTATTTTTGGGGAACTTCTAGATATAATACATTTTGATGGCTGTAACATATATATTGTAAAACTGAATGACAAAGAGAGAGATACAAAAAGGGAAAAGAGGACAGGATGAGGAGAGGGCCTCAGATGATTCTCGTAATGAAGATGACATGGAAAAATGTTTGAATGAATACACAGAACTGATGGATAGGCAGACAATACAGAGGAAGATGAAACTCCAAGTTTAGGTGTCAGAAGTTGCTTTTAAAACTCTGTTCTGTGCGATGAAGACCAGCATCTCCTCCATTTGTATCTTTATGAGGGGCATGTAGGAGAGAACACACCCCTCATAAAGAAAGAAAATACAAACTCTGCAATGTTGCCAGCTGCATCTGCATAATTCTCTCATTTTGATGATGCATTTCATACGCAATCCAAACCGTATTGACCTGCATTTTTTGTATATGCAATGTTGGTTGCAAAATGAATTAAGTGTGGGCGAGCGGCGTATAACGCGGGCGTCAATAACACCGTCGGGCAACTTACAAATGGTGTAATTATCTCCTCATCAGGTTATTAGAGGATCAATCGAGCCTGGTGGCCTGATGGCAGAGGTGAGCTGATGAGGGATGGAAAATGGTTATGACGACTGAAGCAGCAGATCTCAGAGAGAGGGGTGTTTACTCATGTAAAATGATGCAATCGAAATGATGCGAAGAAATTCAGAAAAACTAAGAAAGCCAGAAGTGTTGTTTATGCATTAGTGCGTGGGTAGAGAAGGAAAAATGTACCCAAGAATAATAATAACAAAATGGACTCACAAATTACCCAAATGAGTCTAACTAAAGAAGTCACAAAATAAGCTATTTGTCTTCTTAAATAACACGTTATGAGCATCTACTGGTTTGTCTGGTTAAGTTTAAGGATGTAAAACAACTTGTCCAATAGTTTTCCTTCCTCCCAGTCTGCATGCCAAGTTTTCCCAAGCAAACCAGTTTTACAGAATGAAAAGCAAAACCCTCCACAGTGAGTTAAAGTAAATCAACCCTCTTAATGCAATTTCAAACATGATGAAGGGTTATGGACTCCAGGTCTGTCAGTTGGTCTGACCACAAAACAGAACAAAGCTGACTTCTGGGTCAAGTGAGGACAGCTGGCATCAACCAAAATCTAATTTACACACTTTTATATAATGTGTTTTTTCCTGTTAATCTCATTGTAGTTGACTGTTGTATTCACCAGCAACACTTTATCCAGAATCTGTTTTTCCTATCGGTCTAATGGATTTATTATGCCAGCTCCTGTGTTCATTTTTTTTCTCTGAAGCACTTACTATATTCAATTCAATTCAGTGTTATTTATATAGCACCATATAGCAGTCATGTCAAAGCAGTCATTTTGTACTGTAACATAAGGGCCCAACCACATCAGAAAAAAAGCTCCAATGACCAGAACTGGCCCACGAGTCTGGTCAATCTGACCAGCATAAGGTAAAGGTAAAACCATCAAACCCCACAAAATCAAGAAGAGGCCTTGTTATAGTAAGGAATCTCAATTCAAGTGACACACTTATGTAGTGTAACCAAAAAATGGCAACATTTGCATAGAATGTATTATTTTCATCGTAACCTGCAACCATGGTTGCAATTATTAGCATGCTAGTGCTAGCAATATCACTCTAGGGCCCTTTGCTTATTTTATCTAAATCTGTGTGGGTTTCTACACCTTGAGGCGACTTTTGTTGTGATTTGGCGCTATATAAATAAAATTGAATTGAATTGAATTGAATTCTATAAAACAATAAATAAGTTGCTCACCTCTGCTCTGTAGGCGCAGTGAAAAAGGAAGGGTGTGTATTATGGGAAGTCCCACAGCAGTTTGAGTCTATAGGAGCACAACTAAAGGATGCTTCAATATCAACTCAACCAGCACTAATAGTAAGCCTTCTTAAAAAGGAAAGTTTTGAATATAATCTCTAAAGTAAAGAAGGTGTCTGTCTCCTAAATTTAAACTTGGAGATGGTTCTGTGGGAGAACTTCAAGATAGCTAAAAGCTTGTTGTCCCATTCTTCTATTACAAACTCTAGGTACCAAAAGTAAGGCTGCAGTCTAAGAACAAAATGCTTTATTGGGACAGTATAAGACTATGAGATCTTTCAGATATGATGGGGGCTAACTTTTTATATGAAAAGGACTGGTAAATTTAATTCTGGATTTAACAGTGAACTAGTGAAGGGAACATTTTAGAATGTTTGAGTTTCTGGAATGAAAGCAAAGTTTAAAGTAGAAATGTTAGTAGTTCTGTAAATTAAAACTCATCTGTAGTAGCATCATGCTGGAGGTCCATTTTTGACCCTGAAACATAGCTTTTGCAGCTTTCTGTCTTCCCTGAGAGGAAAACAGTGAGTCGCTGTACTAACATAATTCCCATAATTCCATTCATTGATACCAGGAGCTGCAGTTTGCCCCGGGCTGGTCAGCCAGCTCTGGTCTCAGTTAGGACAATAAAGTTCTGGCTTTCCTTTCCTTTCCTCCCATCAAAACAGCTAAACCATACTTTTATGTCACGGGAGTGGAACGGACTCAGGCGCAGACTGAGGTAGCACAGTTCAACGACACTTTATTAATCACACTGGTGCACTATATACACGTGAAGGGGGGGAAACACCAGGGTCCCGGGGATCACTTGGCTGGGGAGACACACTTCTTCGCACTCGCTCTGCTCCTCGTCCAAACAGTCTCCACACAAGCAGCTCAGCTCACTCTCCTACTCACGGGGTCCAGGGGTCACAAAAGGGCTGATCCAGGTAAACCTGTTTACACAGACGAGGGTAAGTCGAAGGCAAACACGGGAACAGTAGAATCGCAAGGAAGCCAGGCAATACTAACGAGAGTTACTCAATATTCCAGCGATGAATAGCTCAGAGCCCCAGCCTTAAGAGCCAGAGAACTGCAATCCGCTCGAGATCAGCTGCAGGTGCGTGGGCCAAGGGCAGGAGCCCAATCAGAGCTCCGCCCAGGCAGACAGGTAGGAGAGACAGAGTGAGAGAAAAACAACAAACACTTGTGGCCACACTGGGCTGGCCGGGGAGGCACAGGGACCATGACACTTTTATCTATTAAGCCCAGCCCACTGACAACAATCCAACCTATAGGGACAGATATCATTAAGGGCCACCTGAAAGAATAAATGGTTTCATCCATTTGTTTGTGTTCAGGCCAAGAATATTTTTCCAGTCTTGCACTCTTGTTTGATCCTGTGCTGCAGTTTTGAAAACTTTAACGGTCCATGTTAGCATTGCTAGTCTTCTGAGTGCCTTCCAGCTATTCCTCCAAGTCAAAATTTTAAAGAACATCTTCATCAACATTAACTTACATCATTTTCCTCAGTTGTTGGCAGTTGTTGGACTCTCTTTTTTTCTACTTAAAACCAAATCATTTCTGTTTTTCTTGTGTCCAGTAAATGTCCCAGCCACAGTGGTGGAGGCCATGACGAGGCAGGAATCCCTCCAGTCCTTCAGCAAAAACGGCAAACCCTCTTCCTCATCCTCTTCATCGTCCTCCACTCCGTCCTCCACCCTCATGCGCTCCATGGTCTTCCCCCACTCCCCCTGCCCTCGGAGTTTCTCCCTGTTGGATAAGGTTGGGGTTCAGTCGGACTCCAGTTTTGGCCAGTTGGGGTCAAAGAACCAGAGAGTCCTGGCAAGTCCCACATCCACCAGCCAGCTTAGCAGTGAGTTCAGCGACTGGCACCTGTGGAAATGTGGCCAGTGCTTCAAGACCTTCACCCAGAGGATCCTGCTCCAGATGCATGTGTGTCCGCAAAATCCTGACCGGTAAGACGCAGTGGTTTTAGGTACTTGACAGTTTGTCTCAAGGCTGTTGTAATGCAGGATAAACTGACACTAAAGGGACACAGTGTTGGTTTGAGAATGACTCCAAAAACTTTTCTTTATGTCTGAAACCTCAGGGGATCAAAATCTTTTGATAGCTTACAATCAACATTGTAAGCAACTGTGTTGTACCAAAGCCCTTAAAGAAGGTAGAAGGACTTCGGCATAATTTAAAATGAGTTTTAAATGAATAAAGGCGATGATTTTAACTGTAAACAAAGCACGATCTAGAGATAACGTGTATAATCAACATAGGTAGCAAGTGCCAAGTGCTCATATGTCCAGAAACGCCATTTTCAGTCAAGAATTTGGCTTCGAGATTTTGGTCTGTACCTACTGGCAGCTTGAAAAGAAATACTTTTTTGGCACAAAGATGACACTTCACCACATCAATGTCTTTTGTATTATAGTGTACAATACTTTGTGTAAAAAGAAAAAAATATGACCCTCAAAGTGACAAAGTGTCAGATAGTTGTTGCTGTTTTCCCAGAGGAAGCCAGTAAATCTGATGCGTTTGCTGTGATTTATGACTCTCATTGTTCCATCATGGCACTATTTGTGTGTGACAGAAAGTGGGAGTTTGGGGATGAGAGTGAAGAGTGTGTAAAAGTGTTTGAGTGTGTATAACATCTGCCAAGTTAATTATATACAGCATGCGTGGAGTGTGTGTATGTGTGTGCAAAAGGGGGACACAGGATGTATTGGAAATTTTTTGCTTAGCTTTATTTTTGTGGGGAGAGTCAGAGCGGCGTATAAATCAGCGCTGTGCGTCACTGAGAAATACCTCGCCTTACGGTGACGGGGCCAGGAAAACAGATGCCACTTATTCAATAAACTAATACTCATAGGGAAGAAAAATGTGGGCTGGATATGGAGGAGGGAGGGAGAGTCGATGGGGAGCTGCCTGTCAATAGGAAGGTTTTATGGGACAGAGGAGCAGATAAAATTCAGCTGAACAAGCCAAACAGAAACAGTCCTGGACCTCCAAGGCCATACTGTACCGTTCAGGTGAACTGGAATTATACCAGTATGCCCATGAGGCAAAGTCATGCCCCAACATAAGCACTAATCTTTTTCTTAAAGTTGCACCTAACCAGACTATTATATGCATCAAATGATGAAATTTATGTTTTTCTGCTCCACCATTCTTCATTGTACAAAGGACAAGAGTTGTCAATCTGTATGTTTAAGAGGTTCACTCTCACCCTGGCCATCAACTCTTTAGTTTGCCACCTTCTAAAAGCAGTACCAGAAGACTAAAGAATAGCTTCTTGGGCCATCAGGCTATTCAACACCCAAATTAAACTCTAAGCATTCACTGAACAAGTGCAATAGCTAAAATACCTCTAGATATCATCTATTCTGCTTTCTACCTGTGCCATTGTCAAAGCTGCTGTCATTAGGATTATTAGCTATGTATTTATTACTTTATTTTTATATTTTATTACTCTTTCATTCAAGTAGAATGATTTCAGCAGTGCTTCCAGTTCCGTTGCATGTTTGTGCTTATGAGTACAATGAAGCTTATTTTATCTCATCTCTTATCTTTTATATTTAAGTTCATAATATGAATGAAGTTGTGATAATAGAAAGTAAAGCAAATCAGAAAAGCTTCTGTTGGACACCAACTCATAAGTCATCATAGTGTATCACTGTGGGCTCTGTTTGGCCAGGTGTTTCACAAAAATGCGCTCTATGAACTACCACTATCCCTACAAGTCATGACATGCTGATAATGCAAAACTGGTATTAGTTTCTTACATCCTGTAAAGGTCTTTAAAGTGTAAACAAGCACTCAATATACCCCATGTGTGAAATTTTTCATTGACATCAAATATCCAAGATTAAACGTAGAACACTAACGGCTGAAAGTGATAGTGTTACAAAACTCATGTTAGTGTTGTAGGGTTAAGGTAAGTTGTAGGGAAGAATAAAATGTTCAATTAAATATCGATTTGATTAAAATGTTAGCTTCTGAAATGAAGTTTAACAGCATCCATCCATTTTTGTCCACTTATTCAATTCAGGGTTGCAGGGGGACTGGAGCCTATCCCAGCTATCATAGACCATGAGTTGGGGTACAACCTACAGGGCCAACACAGAGAAACAGACAGCCATTCATACTGACATTCACACCTACAGCCAATTTAGAATCATAGTTTAACTCCACTAACTGCATATCTTTGGTCTACGGAGAGGAGCCGAAGTACCTGGAAACAACCTAAACACACAGAACACCTCTGGCCAGATGTTGGAATTTAACCCGGGACCTTCTTGTTGGGAGACAACACAGTGCTGATCATTGCACCTCACAGCAAGCAGGTCCCTGTTTTAAATCCACCATCTGGTGCAACAGCTGTACTGCCCTAACAACATTCAAACACTGTTAAATTTGATAGTTGGTTTTAACTTTTAAAAATTATGGAAACTCGTTGCCTCAAAAAAAAAGCAAATTATCAGTATTGATGTAATGACAACAGAGTTGACTTTGATGTTGACAAAGCCACCAATGACAGATGCATATTTGATGGGTAAGTTACAGATTTCTGTTTTTCCTCTGCAGATTTGAGTCTTTAGATTCTACTACCAGTATTGTAAGGTTTAGTTTCTTCTTCCAGTATGGTTTCACTAGTAATAAAAGCTCATCTCTCACTTTGATTTCTAACAGCTTCCCTCACTTTCTCCTGGCCTCCCTCTCCCCCTTCATACATATTTATTGATGTTTACTTGATGGGAACATTTGGAGCTGAAGACTGATGGCTCTTTATATCAGCCTAAAAAAAGGGAAAGAAAAAACACTGCACACCTCCTCTGAGCTCCATCTCTTTCCGGTTTGTTTTTTTCTGCTGACTGTTTCTTTTTCTGAACTTTTTCTTCTTCTCTGTCATTTTTTTTCCCCTCTGTGTGTCATTTCAACAGAATCCATCATCAGAGGAGCAGTTTGTTTATGTCAGCGAGGCCTTGGAAGTGCTTTCGATTCAGCTTTAAACTGGTGTCGAGATACAGGATACTGTTTAAGTTTTGTGATGGCAATGAGTGATGAATCAGGAAAAAAATCAGATCATAAATGGCCTGCGTTTCCACTTATAGCCTTGACATATTACAAAAGCAGTGCAGTGTAAACCACAGCAATGGACTAAATTAATAACCACTCCTTTTATGATTGATGTGTTTACCGCACTGGTGTTTAAAGGAGTCATTAGTGCTTTTAGGGAAAGTTGGATATTTTTGCTAAGCACTTTGATCTCCACAGTTCACAATTCAGGTCTCATTCTGGTGGCTGATGTTGTTTATGAGTAAGGCCTGTATTTGTATATGGACACAATCACGCTTGTATATCGGAGGACAGAAGGTTTACAGCCGATTGAAAGTGTATCATCACAGAGCCCGACTTTATGGAGGAATTAAATTTTAATTTCTGTCATTTGTTTCTGGCATCTAACAATCCCTTGTTGGTGGTTTGGCCTGATTTCTCCGGCTTTCCAGCAGCCCAGTTAAACATTTAAAATTCTCCATTACTCACGTAAGCGCTACAATAATGAGAGCATTGAGGCATTTAAATGTTCTAAGGTTTAATGTTTTTCAGTGGAAAAGCCGAAAAACCCTGAACCGAGATAACTGATAGAGCGAGAAGTTTTCCTAGACATTAATCGTGTTAAATATTTTTTTCCTTGATTATAATACCACTGGGGAGGGACATCATGATATTATATATTCTCCACTTGATTATTAACCCTATGATGCTTTTGCATCATATTTGATACATGAGTTTCTGAGACCTCTAGCTCATCAACATGATTGATGCTTGTCATAATTCCAAAATGTTATGTACAAAACTCTTTTTTTTGTCTAAAATTAACATTGTTGTTAACAAAAACTTGCCAAAGACGCCCAATGTATCAAATGTGATACAAAAAATATATAATAAATATATCATTAACAACATGATATAGCAATAAAGCTTTTGTGAATTTTGTTATAAGGGTTAATAAACATCTCAGTTCCAAAAAAATAAGAATTTTCAGGCTATTTTTTGATGGGTTGGGTGTTACAGGCTAATCAAGTAGTGAATTTTTTTAGCACCTGTTATGTCTGTTTTACACCGACATGCATCCCAAAGGAAAAATATAAATATGATAGCAATATTTCATTTTTAATCATCGTGTTTATCATATGTACAAGTATATATGGCAAACCCTAATTCCCACTTGATTTGATTTTTATTTATGTATTTTTATATATTATATTTGATGTTAATGTTGATCAAATGGCAGTCCAGGTCAACTGATGGCTCATCTGATAATTGTTGACATATCCAATATAGCCTACTTAAAATACAAAATTTAGCCTTAACCAACCCACCTCCACCCCAGCTCCTCCTTTTTTGGTGGCTTCATTTAGCTTAACCCCAAAATAATCCAAGATGTGTTATTTTGTCTTACCATTTTTTAGGATTACAATTTTATATTTTTTAATTTAATGCTAAAAACATAAGCGTTTCAAATATTTTTGACGTAAATGTGCTGATTTTACAGATAACATTTTTCTGGGATACCCAACCAGCATACCCAATAGCTAAAATTTTTGCCAATCAAAAATAAAAATATTCAATTTTAGTAAAATAAAGATCACCAAAGCATTAACAATCTATTTGTAATCTTTTGAAATTTTACCCCCACAAATTCATCTATTCAACTGAGTTTCACTCTGTTCCTGGTCAGCCAAACCCAATTTGCAATGATTTAAAGTCCTGTTAGAGGGGCCTGCCCCACAGTTTGAGAAACCTGCCACTGACTTTATATTAGCACTCTGGTAGACTATTCTTCATTAATATATCAGCCTGTGTTTGGCCTTAATTCTTGGAGCTTCATCTGTCACTTTTCACTGCATTAAGCTTCTGCTGTTTTGTCCAATCACCCTTCTCTAATGATCTAATTAAACTCTTCC